GATACTCCGATTACAATGCTGTGCTTCTTAATAAAAAAAACGCACATTCGCAAACGTACACACTACGCTCCGCGGTGTTAACCAGCGGACACAACATTCCACAGTTGCCCCCACGCAAGCCCAAACAACGATTTGTTATTTAGCGGCATATTTCCCCCGCGCTTTCCGTGCGCATGATGGAAAGCACAGAGCCTTCCGTCTGGCACCGTAAAGATGCCGTAAAAAGCACATTCTGTGGTGGAGCTAGCAGCTGATTCAGTTTGGTCCAGGGTCTGCCTTCAGGCTTTGTGTCCCCCCCCCCCGAGTGTGAAGAGTTGGGTGACGTGAGGGGGGGATAGAGTGGAGTTGGGGGTGGGAGGGCGAACAAAGATGTATGGCCTCATATCAGCGACTTGGCCATAGTTGGGCCTTCTGCCTGAAAACTGAGAAGCCAAGGGGTCTCGGGCGCAGCGTCGGTGTTGCTGATGCAGCCAAGCGCCTCACGCTGGCTTCAAACCCACGGCTGGAGAACGCCTCGGAGGCGACTTGAACCGACTGAGTGAACGGCGAGAGTCCTCGATCGGCGTTACCAGGCCGTACATGAACACCCGTGCATACCTCGCTTGGCAATTGCCTCATACGCGCACCTCCGATTAGCGCGGTTGGCTATGTACGGTGTGAAAGAATCTCGCGGTACGTTCAGCAGGAGCGCAGCCACACTTTGTTGGTTGGAGATTGTCCTCCTCGTAAATGGTTCCCGGTGGTTATTGCTTAGATTACAGATGCACAGTGACCAGTTATTTGCTAACGCTATCGTTAATTACTGTTGCCAAGCTACGTTGTAGCATTGACACACCGGATTTAATTTATTTTTTTTAAATCTATGCGCAAACTACGAAGGTGCGAGAGAGGACATCAACTGGGAAGATGGAGCAATGAAATTAGCTCTTGCGCAAGGTGCTCGGAGGATTATTACATCTGAGGATCGTGAGAGGTGGCGCTCGTTCGGAGAGGCCTTCATCCAACAGTGGATTGACCAAAGCTAATGATGGAGTGTGGCACATTCTCACCGCTATTAAAACATGTACTTAATTATATTAAATCGGCACCACCACTGGCTACTGTTTGGGTGCTCGAGCCTGCTGTCCGTGCGCTGCTGCGTGTCTTCAAAGCCCCCGTCGTCGGCGCGATCAGCACATACGTCGTCTTTACCCTGTGGTTCTTTCGGTGAAGTCAAGGTTACAAGTCGTCTTGTTGAATGGAGAAAAATGCACACTTAAAAAATTCCGTGTATATTTGGCAGAAATGTTGTTGGGAGGGGGGGGGGCGTTGCGGACACCAAACACTGCCTACAGTCACCATGGGGGTGCCATGGTGGTGATAGGTCGTGGATTCGATCCCGACTCTGACGCCTGTTGTATATTTGCGTGCCTCTCTCTCTCTCTCCCCGTGGTCGCGTGAATTTTTCTCTGGGTCCTCTTGTTTTTTCCCCCCTTCGCATTTTGAATCAACGTGCATTTATAATCAGAGTATTTGGCTTCTATGAACTTCCACATGGTAAGCCAATTTGTTCAGCTATCATTTGTGACCAGGTCGTTTCTGAAAAAGAGCTATATAGTTCAGTGGGCCTTACCTAGTAAAATAAATAAAAATAGTAACCATCGCTGCTGCCGCTGCTGGCTGCTGAGCATATGCGCAATTTGTTCAGCTCCTTCGCCCCACCGTGCATTTGTTTTTTTGTCGGCCAAAGTTCCCACGACTCCTGTGCATTGCTGTACAACCACAGCTGCCATTCCACCATGAAGGGATAGCGATTGTCACCACAGCGCTAAGGCGTTTGGTCACATTCACACGCGGCAAGCATGTCAACTGACCGCATGCGTGTTGCGTACAAAAGGGTGCGGGTGAAAGAACACGCATAACGGTGCCGTCCGTGTGTGCATGTGCTTGGGGAGTGGTTCTGCAGTGCTCGCTTGGTGCACCTAGCCTGGCACGCATGCTGTGGTGATGTCACTGCCTCTTATAGTGGCGAATGGTGGCTGCTGTTGTCGTTACGACGTGAGTTTTACTCCTGACCACTTTGGTGGCACGTGACATTCGAACTGGTCATGGACCCCTGCTCTAGATCATTTCAGACTTAGATGACCACCAGTACGGTGTGTAAACATCAGCGCTGGTGAGACAAAGGCCACTGGGTGCTGTGTCGCCCACACACCACCACCACTTATGCACCATGCTGGCCTTAACACGTGCTTGCTCACGGCGCTCGCCCCAACATTCTGTGCAGGACATGGTTGGGGAGGGCTTAGTCGGTGTGCACACGTGGGATGATGCTTGTGCATGCACGTTTTTATATCCCCGTGTTTCTATCGAGGGCTTTCGTTGACTGAAACCCCGGCACCGAACCTCAACCCCCTAGACTGAGACAAATTATTTCCTTTCCAGACAAAAGAGCGTGAGCCCGGGAGTGGCGGAGCATGTAGTGTATATGTGTGTGCGTGCGCACGTGCGGGAATAAGGTTTAGCAGTGGGAGCTTTAAAATCATAAACAAAGGTCCGTGCAGAAAGTACGCGTGTACAAGCATGCACGTGCATGTATTTTACAATTGACCCTACACTTGTGCACACAAGCACGCACGCACATTGCATTCATTTGCTTGCACAGTCTATCGCGGGCCTTGAGTCCGTGGATTCGCACGTTGCACCGAATCCCTGCCGATTTGTCTCATTAGGTAACCGTAGCTTTGGTTTTCAGAGCCTTGGCCTTTCCCACTGTTCCCCAGGAAGGAGTGCGTGCATGTGTGTGTGTGTGTGCATGCGAATGCAATGCTCATAACGGACGAGTTGATAGCCGGGCAACGTTTATATCATGCACTTTCTTCCTTCTCTTCTCAGACGTTCAAGAAGCAGGATGATATGAAGGATGAATTTGCTCAACTGTGTTCAGTTTACACCAGAAGCTAAAGCTTACACGCTTGCGGGATGCCATCCGATTAGCAATGAAACATCCACCTGGGTTCTGCCATGGTGTTGTGGTTGGAACGCTGGACTTCGAGGGGGCACCGGTTCAATTCGATCTCCTGGCACGGCAGTTGAAACAACGGCACAAGTTTCTAAACCCACCCTCCATCCCTGTCCACTCAGGAGTGTGTGAATGGGTTCACCACAGTCAATCGGCAGGTCGCATGTTGTGGGGTAAAGTGTGGCTATTCCCACCTCTTTCAAGGCGTCTGGCTTGGGTGGAAGGGTAAACCGATTGTACAATTATTATGTTTTTATTACACTTGGTACCCATAAAAGCCCTCATTCTATTTCCGGAGGGTCCTACTAGTTTTTTGCATTTGGGGTGACGATCGTCACGTACATCTGCGAGTAATTTTTCCGATATGGAACCATTAAGCCGGCACGCAATGGCCTGCTCTTCAAATGATACCACGGGATCTTTAACGTGCCCTTGCGAAGCAAACGACGTCGTGTATTTTATGGTCCATGCACCTGCGGTATTAATCGGGGTGGCCGACCGGGTTTGAACCGCGCACGCCTCTGCAACCAAGCAGTGAATCGCACGCCCACTAAACGTACCGTCTGCAGGGTCTCGCACGACGATGCTCTCATCGCTCTATCATCAAGGTGGCCGTCCTCGACAAGCAACGTTCCCTACTTTGGCTGCCACTCTGTCATTAGTCTCGGCCATTATCTCTTCCAACGAGGTGTCCTGCCCAATCACATTGGCTTTTTTTGTCCACAGTCAATATGCTGTCTCGACCCTTCTGATCCACTTGGTCCTCTTTCAGTCACTCAGTGTAATTCCAAGCATATATCTTCTCCCCGTGCTTCTTGGCTGCCAAGCTAACCTACAAAATTGTATTTGAATTTGACAGACCATGGTAAACAATAAAGGCACATTTCCACAATCAAAGTTTGGATAATTTAATGAGAAAGTTAAATCAAATCTGGATGCCATTTATAATATGGTATACTCCATTTGAGTGATGCCACTGTTAAGCCAAACATATAACGTGTGTGTGTGTGAGAGCGTGTTTGTTTGCCATGTTTTGGACTTTTTAATTTAGCCCACATGGGATGCTTGGGTATTTTTAGGACGCACGGGGCGACTGTTGGCACGCAGCAAAATAATAAATAAATAAATGCGCCGACAAGCAGAAATCGAATTGTCAGTGGGGAGGAAAATAACAGAAAGCTTTGTTTTTGGAAACGCGGTTTTGCGGTCGTAAATGTATAGGCTAGTTATCTTAATAGTCACCCGGGCTCACAATCCGAGCATTGTTGAGCCAAGGTAATTGTACACTGCACCATGTATGACTCGGGACGTCGGGAGTTGATTGCTTCCATGCCACCTGCACACGACTTCATCGTTGGCACAGAGCCGTCAGGGTTTTGGCTTTCGCGGGAAGCGAACATTTTGCCGTTTTTGCGTGCGCTTGCTCTTGCAACCATCCGAGAAATACCCGAGCCAAAACTCGGAGATTTGGGAGTGAAGGAACCGTACTGTTTAGAGACGTCAAGACAATGACCAAACATAAATGTTTACAGCTCAATTAGCCGATTATTGATGTTAGACTTCAACCGCTGGCTCATAAGAGACTCATGGTCCCCCGAGGTTAATCCTTCTGGCGTGTTTACAGCTCCGTCGATTGTAACAGTGATGATGATAATGGCTGTGGTTGGTAGTGGCCATGGTACAGGGGACGTTCATGGTCAGTGCCAAATATTGTCTTTCGAATAGTGACACTGCTATAGCTGCAGATGCTGCTACAGTCTTCTGATTATGCTGCTGCTGATAATAACAGTAGCAGGGAAAATTGGCTAAATGATGATAACTGTTGTAGCAGATACCACTACAAGTGCTGCTTTTATGAGAATCATAACAATGATGCTGATGATGATAATCTTGGCAATGATTGTGATGTTCACACCGTAGCAGCAGCTGCTGTTACTGACGATGCTGATCCTAATGATGCCGATGATGCTGATGACGATGCCCGTTTGTATATGTTCAGGAGCCAGCGTCCGACTGGGCTGATGGCCGCTGTGAGGCCTGCTCGTCGTGTCCTGGGCCTCCTCTTGATGACGGAACGGCGGCGGCGGCAGCGGCGTGTCTGGAGCATCTTCCTATCGGCACGCCCACGCACCGGCCTGGCCCGGCCACACTGCCCCAACCACCGCTGCCACTGCATTCGCAGTCCCAGTCTCCATCCTCGCGTGGAGCCAAGGCTTTACCACCACCACCATCGTCATCGTCAGCAGCCAGGGCCACGCAGAGTCCTGCGGCTGCCGAACGCAAGAAGGGAGGTTCCTCGAGTGGGGGCGTGGCAGGGGATGGAGCATGGACTTCTCCAAAGATGAATGGCTACGCGGCACATGCTTACCTGGTGAGACACCTGGGAGTCATGCGCGCAATGCTGAATGGGGTCTCCATTCATGATTCTTTTCATGAATGGTTTATTTGAAACCAAGGCTGTTTCAGTATCATCATTCATTGTCTTGCACGATCCATTATCTTCGTAATTATCCATTCTTTTTCATCAAAGTTATGATTTATCACATTCATCCATGGTCATCATCATCATTTGCTGTTTTTTCATCATCCATAACCATCATCAGCCATCATTGTCTAACCTGTTTTTGGGACGTCCACAGTGATTCTCCTATCAAGAGACATACTGGCCCTTGCGATAAGAATAATTAATTTTAATACTGGATCCAAACTACCAGTGGAGATGATCACCACTCCAGACTTGAAATTCTTATTTTTCTTAAATGACACCACACCCTATCACTCCAAAGTGTACGATGGAAAACCGTGTTTGTTTGTTTGTTTGTGCATTAATGTTCCTTGGTGTGACGTCTTTGTCCATTAGAAATTCACATGAAGACTGAGTGGATGTTTTTGCGCGATTTGTGCCAGTTGTGTGGGCAGTGATGGTGCTGTGTGACAAACCCGGCGACCCAAGTTCGATTCACGGCCAACACCAGCGACAATAATCTGAACTAGTCATGGGCCTACTCTAGGTCGACTCAGACTAAAATGGGTGCCTGGTGTGGTGTGCAAACATTGAAACTGGGGAGACAAAGGCGGACAGGCATGGTGCTGGCCACCCACCCCCTCGTGCACCGTCCCGGCCTTCATAGATGCTCGCTAACAGCACTTGCCCCAAGAGTCTGTTAAGGCTATAAGGGGGATCTTTATCTTTGTTTTGTGCCAGTTGTGAATTTCATCCAGTACAGAAACCCACGTGTACATCACCCTAAGGAAACCCTATATTTGTACCAGACATGTTTTCACCATGCAAACTCAGTTTTGTCAAGAGCTCAAATACAGTGCACGTTTAATAAAATAATTTATTTATTTTTCTTTTGCTACGGCTGGAGGCCGAATGGTACTCGCAGCTTAAATTATTTAATCGACATCTTCCCTTGTGTTTGATCAGCCATTCAACGCATTAACCTATTCACTTTCAAACGCGGCGGCACTGCACGTATGATTGCATGTATGTTGAATTTCTTTAGCACCATACGTAGCCAGCCGTGCTAATTGAAGGTGCGGGGGAAGGACAATAAACTAAACATTAAAACAGTTTTAAATTTTGATTTAAAGCTTTCGTGACTGCAGTAATTCATATTCTTAGTTTTTTCGGTAAAGTCACGTTGAAGAGAAACAACAAAATAATAAAATATAATAAAATATATATAAACAAACCAACACACCTGAAGATGACCGTTTGAGTTATGGTCGAAACGTCGTGAGAATTTTTTTTTTAATTGTTTTATATATATTTTATTATTTTGTTGTTTCTCTTCAACGTGACTTTACCGAAAAAACTAAGAATATGAATATTAAAACAGTTATAAAGAAATATTGACTTAAAGCTTTCTTGACTGCAGGAATTCATATTCTTTGGGTCTTTCGGTAAAGCCACGTAGATAGAAAAAATAATGAAAATATGACAAGGTTTCGACCGCAACACAAGCAATCATCATCAGGTGAAAAAATAGCGAGAGAGCTGCTGAGGCAGGATGTTATAAAGGTTTGAGATGGGTGTAGCCCAAGGGTCATACGCGGAGTGGGCGGGGCTAGTGATGAAATTTGCATGTCAATGTAAGATCGGGTATATCGGAGGGCTACCTCCACAACGACGAAGCTGCGGAGGTGGCCACTGTACTGTGAGCCTCGTCGTCGTGGGAGTACCCGATCTTACATTGACATGCAAATTTCATCACTAGCCCCGCCCACTCCGCCTATGACCCTTGGGCTACACCCATCTCAAACGTTTATAACATCCTGCCTCAGCAGCTCTCCCGCTATATTTGTTTTCACCTGAAGATGACGATTGCTTGTGTTGCCGTCGAAACGTCGTGATATTGTTATTATTTTTTCTATTTACGTGGCTTTCCCCAAAGACCCGAAGAATAGTCATAAAGAAATGAGTGTTCAATCCAGATGATGATTTAAAAGTTGCACAGCTCCAGTCGCTTCCTCATATTGGAAGGAAGAGCGTTCCAGACGGCCGCAGAAGTGCATCTGAAAGCGCGAAAATACAAATAACTCCGATGGCTCCCGTAAGGTTATATGGAGCGAGCCCCACTGGAATGTGTCCGGGCTCTCGTAATGCACAGCGGTAGTTTGCGTTTGGCCTGTGTGCCATCACTCAGCTGGCCGTTCATGTGAATGGGCAGCCCTAGAGCAGACAGAACCGTGGGTTTAATAACCTGGTTTGAAGGATGGCTCACCTCGCAAGCGTCCAGCTCGCCGCAAATCTCTTAAGGCTACGATGCCGGTCTGGACTGGCGAATCTGTGTGTAAGGTGTGCATGTGCGTGCGTTCTTTTTGCATTATCAAAAGGACAGCTCTTTTCTTCCACACCACAACACTCCCGCCACGTCTGAACGACACAATTCGCCGTTATAGAGCTCATGACGCGTATGTGTGCACAATATTCATTTGCGTTCAATACATAATCTGGCCAAGTGGAGTCTTGGTCGAGCGAGAGGCTCGCAATGGAATGGTTGAGAATCCTCATCGTGGGAGGAGGTTGACTCAGCCCAACGTCGTTCTGGGGGGGGGGTCGATGTAATCAATTTCACTTCGTGGGGAAGTCAACAGTGGGTTGTGCTCTCTGGAGAGACACTCCCGATCCCCTCGGTGGTGGAAATGTGGAATTTCCACCACCGACTCAGGGATGTAAACAGGAGAAGAGCACCGATGGCTCAATGCTCATCTGAGTAAGAAATCAATTGTACTTTTTTATTTCAAATTGCATCGGTCCACTTATTGATCTGTGCAAAGAACGGAATTGCAAACAGGGAGATGACACCGGATGGTCTTTCCCTGAGGTGTTCCATCAAGGGTTTTTTTCTCTCTCTCTCTCTCCTTCATGCCCGACAACCTCAAAAAATGCTCGCAATGCATACTCCGCTTAGAGAAGTAGTTGCTGATTACAATTATTCAGAGGTGACTGTCCGGGCGGTTTGAGGTTTTACACCGGCTGGTAAAATGTTGCAGATTGCCGAGAGATTCCGCGAGCTTCTCCGCTCCGGGGCCGCAGCTGTGTTGACAGAGTCGCCCCACCTCATTGCTGCTCCTGCTGCGGCAGTGGCGGCGGTGGTGGTGGCGGTGGCAGTGGTGGCGGTGGTGGCGGTGGTGATGGTGGCGGTGGTGGCGGTGGTGATGGTGGTGGTGGCGGCAGTGGCGGTGGTGGCGGCAGTGGCGGCGGTGATGCCGGTGGTGATGGCGGTGGCGGCGGTGGTGCCGGTGGTGGCGGCGGTGGTGGTGGTGGTGGTGGCGGTGGTGGCGGCAGTGGCGGCGGTGGTGCCGGTGGTGATGGCAGTGGCGGCGGTGGTGGTGCCGGTGGTGGCGGCGGCGGCGGTGGTGGTGTCAGTGGTGGCGGCGGTGGTGGCAGTGGCGGTGGTGGTGGCGGTGATGGTGGTGGTGGTAGTGGCAGTGGTGGTGGTTGTGCATATAAGTCGGCATTGTTGCTGCCCGCTGCAACTTCGCAATTACCTCCGAGCCCTCCGTGTAAACACGTTGTGCAAGGACGCAGCACTTGGCGGGGGGGCCCGCTCATAAATTCGTGCTGTTGCTGCTGCCGCTGTCTCTGCAGCACTACACGCCCTTGTTGTTTTCCCAACACAAGTCCGCGAATGCATTGCACCTGCGCACGGTGGGTTATGCATTGCGTAAGAAACGCTACGTTTGTAAACCAACCGCGATCCTCTTGAAGTTTTAATTCGTTCTAATGTGCCTTGCAAGGGTGTGTTTATGTTTAAGAGCAGGCAATCTCAGCTGTTGGGGACTGTTTGTTCAGAGAATCTTGCAACAGCGGTGGTTGTGTGGCTGAGAAGTCGTGCGATGGAGGGGGTTTAGGGTCGGTGCAAAGGAGGAGGATTGGAACGAACGTTGTGCTAAGAGGTGCGCTTCACAGCTATCGTTGCCTTGAGGTGCAGTGTGCACGAACTTAGCACGTCTGACCAGTAGTGTTTGTTTCACAGGAGCATTGCAGAAACATTTCGGAAATCGGAAATGGTTTTGACTTAAAATTTCTTAAAATAGTTGGTAGAAATATTCGTGTGTTTTTTTTTTATCTCCCTGTATATTATTTGTTTAAAAAAGATACTGCTCTCTAATATGTCATTATTTGCAATTTTACATTCCACTTGGCCTAAAAAGAGAACTGCCTCCATAATGGCGACTTCTGTTCCCCATCTCTTACGTTTTCCTGCTATGGATGTGAAACTGACATCAAACCGTACTCATATAGACAATGCATCTGATCAATGTCATTGACTACCGATGCCTCTGCAGGCAATAGCTGTGTGGGCAGCAGAGACCCAAGGCTGCATTGCTGCTGTGTGGAGCAGCCACAGCTGGAGCACGTCACGCTGCGACAAATCAACGTCCTGCTGCGCTCAGAAACGTGTTAACCAATACCGTGCATTTGGCATTCAAAGTGAAACGTCCGTATTATGAACCCACGTCCCAAAAATAACTTTGTCTTCAATTCAAAGCATAATAATTAACTTGAACTGTATAGCATCGCCGCGCGCATGTATTCCAACGCATCGTGGCACTGCCCAGCTGAGGTGAGTGGGCGGCAGAGGGCAGGGGTGGTGCACGATGTTTAAAGGGGTGCGTTACAGCAGCTGCGAGTCTCAGGCCAGCGATCACAGGGCAGCGATGCACATCACTGCCATGGAACAAAGCTGTGCTGGGGAAGAGGCAATTAAAACACATTCCACTGCAGCGAGGGGAGGGAGGGAGGGGAGGGGATGCTGGTGGAGCAAGCCGCCGTGGTGGGTCACGGTGGGGCTGGCGAGATGAGGGGCTGGGTACGGCGTGAGGAGAGGGCACGGGACCGTGCCACATCTTTATGAGGTTTCCAGAGCACGGCTGCGAGCGATGCTTCACCGTAAACTGTTGATCAGTTGTCGTCACCCCCCCGCCCTCCCCCCCCAAAGTGAGCCGACTAAGTTTTTGTCGTGCAGCCAACCGCAAGATTTGGGTCGTGCCTCTCCCCATGTCACGTCTGGTTTTTAATGCGTTTGTGATTTTTGTTCAGTGGGTGTCTCAAAAACATGTTTTTCAAGTTAAATTAACAATACAACAATAAATCAGTCTCCGTCGATTTACATCTAAAATAAGTATAGCAATTGTGGTCGTTGTTATTAGTATTATTATCAAAGAACAATTATATATGATTAGCAATTTAACTTTAAAGCCTTTAAATCGATTAACTTTCGTAAGGAAAGAGTTACTATGAAACATACCACATGATGCTGTTTTGTTCTGGCCTGGGATACACCATTACAAAACTTCTCAGGGTTCATTATTTAATGATATTGGGTTAGGAAAATAATGCTAATGTGTATTCACTCAAGATTAATTTGGTGTAATGATCCATAACTTGCCTAGCATGCTATGCTGGTCAGGGATATCACATCAGACCTGTGTCAACAGTAGCACAAAGTGTCCATTGACCCCAAGAATGGAAAGAAAACCAAAACAAGTTTTAGCTCTGGAGCCTGGGCCATGAAAGAGACCCCTTGGCTGGCTAACGAAATCAGGTCACGGCCTCACACAGCCTGTGACTAATTGGAGTTTTTCTACGTAAAGCAACGAGAAGAGAAAAAAACATCAAACTACCCAGCACGGTGTCAGTTTCAAGTTACCAGCCTAACAGCAGTCTTAGACTCATTAGATTTTTACTCCAATCTCATGATCTCGCTCTGGTAGCAATTTAAAGAGCTCCCCCCCCCCCCCAGCTAAAGATCGGGCATGGGAAGGTGACTGCAGACAAGGCACGGATCACGTCACGCACGCAGCTAGCTACAATTAAGCCGGCTTCCCCTCCACTCTCTGTCAAGTTGTGAGTGCAACACGACAGTGCCGCTACCTAAGGCAGCGTGCCGAATAAATATGGGCGCATTAGTTGTCACACACTCGCGTTGTTCATTCCTCTGTCTATAATTTAATGACGATCTTTATTTTTTCCTTTATTTGTTATTTGTGTCGTTCGTGAAGTGCAAGGCTGTCAGGAAGGCGCTGTGTTTCACAAATTAATATATTCTGCCAGTTGGAGGCGGGGGGGGGGGGGTCAATGCTGCAATGTGGTTTTACCAAATAAATTAATTAGCTATTTTTATTTTCAAATATGGCAAACATGGACCGTGGCAGTGGCACACATGGCCTACTTCTCTTTCAAATAACATCACGCGATCGTTAATGCCCACTTGGTAGTGGACGGCCCACATTTCCGGTTAATACGCAAATAGTATTGACCAGGGCGGCCGCTCCCTTTCGAACTGCAAATCTCTGCAACGAGCGACAACCACGCTTACGCCCGGCCACGTCACCGCACGTAATGTCAACGCCGAGCACTCCCGGCCCGAGCGCACCGACGCACGCTAACCTCTTCCTTATCGTGTCGCCTCTCCCCACGTTCCATCCCCCTGCTGCTGCCAACCTCCTCCCAACCACGACAGCAGGGTGCGTCTCCAACCCTAGAGGGCTGCAAGCCGCTGTCCGCGGGCTCCAGTTTGGAGCAGCAGAGCCTGGGCCACCCTCCGCTGGAGAGGCTGGCGTCGCCCGCTCGCTCGCCGCAGGCTCTGCCGTGGTCGCTCTCGGCACCGGGAGGCTCCCCGGCGCACGGGAGCCCGCAGAAGACCGCCCACGCCGCCCCGGGGTCGTACGCGGCGAACAGCAACTGCAACGGCAACGGCAATCCGAACGCGTCCTTCTTCACGAGGCGAGTGCTCTCACGGCCTTGCGCGCGGAGCTTCGTTTTGCCCACGCATCTCCACGTGTCCACGGAAGAGAGAACGTGACCCAGAAGCCAGGCGGCTCTTCCTTTACCGCTGCGTTGGCTTTCGTGCTGCTGCTGCTGCTGCTGCATGGCTCTCCGATGTGTTTTCAGGTCATACCACGCGTTGCTCCATCCGGCGTCCGACGATTCGCTCCGCATACCAGGAGTTCCTCCGTGTGCCGAGAGGTTCTAGAGATCTTGGAGAAGCTCCCACGCGAATCTCAAGCAACGAGCGGGATATCCTAAAAACACATCGGAGAGCTGTAGATCTTATCTTGTGGCTGTGTAGGTAGGCAGTTTAAAGCTTCATTAATGATTAAGACAACACCTTTACAAGTACGCCAAGGCATGCCGTCATAGAGTGCCCTATTGATGCGACGTCGTTTGACATTTTGCCATTTATAGCAGTGATGTCACCAGGGTGGTATAATTGTGCATATTACCTAACTGTAAACATAGGGGTTTTTAAATGATAGCCAGGTGCCACGGGAGCCGGAGCTAAGAAAGTGGAATTATGGCGTGAGATCAGGGTTCGAGTCTGGGTGTCAGCCGCCAGTAATTAAGTCCAGGTTCTCGTGCGGTGAGTTGATGATCTCAGGCTGGTCACGAAGCACAAAAACCATCGTGTAAAGTGTCTTTTGTCTTTTCATTGGGTCAAATTCCAGCCTTGATCATTCCAACAACATTTCTTTCTGGCAGGGCATCTTGGAAAGTTGACTGTGTAGTGTGTGCATAAAAAGGGGCACTTAACAGCATATAAAGAAGCATTTGTATGAACATTCCTTGTATGGGCCGCTCTCAAACACAAGGGGGGTTGCAATGCACTGAGAGTTGCCAATAGACCCTTAGTTTGATGCCATGACAGTGATGGCACAATGGGAATAACATTGAGAAGACAAAACAAATAATTTACAAAGTTTCAAACTTGTGTCAGCCCAGAAACACAGATAATGGCTATCTACGAGATAACGGATATTTGTTTTTTGGGTTGTGTCTTCCTCACCCTACGACGACTGATAGTGTCCAAGATATGCTTCCCGTAAATGTGTTAACGCTATTAATAAATAGCCAATTGAGACGTGTAACGTAAACAACTTCAAAATGTGGCACTGGACGGAACACAAAGGCTCCAGTCAATCTCCCTCGACTGTACAGAGTTGTGTGATGCAGGCCCAGGTTGCGTCTTCTCTTGGCTTCATCGCTCGTGTCGACAAAGCTCGACCGTCGCCGCCACTTAGTGGTGAACGGCGATTGTTGTCGCCTTCGTTGTTGTCGTTATATATATGAGTGCTAGGAATTCGGTGTAATGAATGAGTCTCATTGAAGCTCCCGCCTCTAATTCTAAGACGAGCTGGAGAAACGTCCCCCACCGGCCAGTTTGGCTGCCTTGCTCCACCTCGATGCTTTATTGTTTATTGTTAACCATGCCCTCCGGTGCCAGTCATGTGTGGGCGGCTACAGGATCACAAAGCACTGCCAATCGTTCAGGAGGATTTGCTCAGCCTCCCTTTTCATCAAGCTGCCAACGTTGCCCGTCTCATGATACCTCACGAGGCCGCAGGCCGCTGTGATCCGGTCTTGAGGATGTTGCTCGCGAGCTGTGGATGGGGGGGGCATCTTCCTGCGTGTTACTCCGTGTGCGCACGGCGCTGTTTCTGCATGCGTTCGAAACTCAGGATCTCGCATAGATGCTGCGCGGATGTACGCCAATTATATTCTGTCAGGTCCATTGGGATGTGAACACAATTGCCGAAGCAGAGTTAGAGATTAGTGAAGAGTAGGCATACAAATGCCTTAACCATGCAACAAATTTAAATCGGAGCGTATCTGAGAGAGCCAGGCTGGGAACATATGTGGGCTGTAGACCTGAGATAGTTTTGTTGTTGGGAAAGTATTGGGGGGGGGGGGATGTGTTTGTATTAAATATAAGTGTTTAACATTTGCTGTGGTTCATCCTCCATTATACGGGCTAATTGAGGCAATGTTTGTAAGGCATTCACCTCCCACCGCATTCCTACCAAACTCTGACTTCTCATCTGCTCTCACACCCACTATTCACCTCTCATCCCACCCCACCGAACGCCTCCTCGATTCCCAGTTCCCTGCGACATGGCCATATGGCTGCTTGCCCAGCCTAAGCCAACCGATACACATCAATGGATTGCCAGGGATTGATTGAATTCAGTGCATGGGACATCTAATATTCCTGATTATGAGCAAATATTAATTACCATAAATTGTGCATCCATTCATGCATGTGTGTAGCTAATATTTACACACTAACGGAAAATACAAACTCAATTTTTTTCCTGTTTTCAACTTATTTATCTAGGAAGGCCACACTGAGTTGTCTGACTTTTTGAGTATTTTTATTTTAAATACCTTTTCAGCCAATTAATGAGTTTATATGTGTGGGCGAATACCGGAGTGCCCAGAGAAAGCTGAAGCATGTGAGGGGGCAACGCTTTATCCCAGTACAGATGGACACAGATGGCGATTAGTCCACTTGCTGTACCGCCTTTTCCTGGCGAATCACGGTATTTAATTTTGACACCCACGGGAAGGGAGTTTCACAACATTTGTGCGATCCACGAACCCTCGACGAGCCACCACTGCGTACACCACCGGTGGCAGCTGGTACGTTGCTATGTACTGTTATGATTTTTTTCTGCTTGTTGACCCAGGAAAGCCTAAGTCTCGTGACTCCTTTTCAGGAGGGTCCTGCCAAGTAGATTTTTTTTTGTAGCGAGCAATTTCTATATAAGTTCTAACTTGGCAAATGTGGAGCTGATGCCGGCACGTGACGGCCTACACTTGCGAATGACATCGCGGGATCATCACCGTTCACTGTGGAGTGCACGGTGCGGTTTTTTGATGGTTACTCGACCAGAGTGGCCGCTGGATTCGAACCGTGAGCCTCTGCAACAAGTGAAGAGCGCACTGCCACTGGGCCATGCCACCGACCCCTGGTTCAATGTGTAAATAACAACTTAGACTTTAACATTTACACACACGGTCAGCACTGTATCTCCGCATATTAAATACATTCTGCGGGGCAATGCTGGTCTGCTGAACCAATAGGACTATGACTCAAACATATTTTATTCGTATCTGGAGACAGCGGAGGTCTGTTTATAGATGTTAGCTATGATTCTCCATAACAAAGCATCATGAGGTTGTATACACAATAGATATTGTTTGCGCAGAAATTGCCTTGTGGATTTTAAGTAATGTTTTACAGCAATTAACAGATTTTAATTGTTCCCCCGTAACTTCATAAAATTGGCACTTTAAAGCAAGGACAACACAATTCGTGCATTAATTAACATGAATAAGCCATTACTTTCAATTAGTAGTTGCATTTAATATTGGATTTTAAGTGAGTTTTTATCTAATTGATTGTCAAGATATATATACAGTACTGTAGTGTTAACACATGCAAAAATACACCTTTAGGCACACGGTAATGTGGCCATCATACGTAGAATATCCCGCCGCTGGTAGCTCATTTTTAGAAAGGGCAGCGCTGTATTTCACATTTAATTTGAACATTTTCTTTGACAAGTCTTGTAAAGCTGGCCTGTAGCTGACAACACAGAACCTAGTGGTCCATTTTGAGGTGTTCTTCTTTTTGTTCCAAACAAACCATCGCATTTTTTTCTCAAGTGTAACCGCCGCCGTGACTTTAATTGGCCATTTGAGAGGCACATTTTCCAGAACTGCAGCAATTACTCGAAAGTCACAGAAAAAAAAAACTTGCATTGGTAAAGTAAAAAAAAGGCCTAACTCATTAAAATTTCGTGATTTACAACAAAAAATCACAATATGCGGCCTGTAATAACATATTTAAAATAGTAACATTTAGCACACTGGTTTTGCAAACCAGAGATCGCTGTTTCAATCTTCTGGCACGGTTGTTAAAACAATGCACCCAGCAGCATCTGACTGTAGACCACAGTCGAACGCTCAGGTCGCGTGTGGTGGGGTGAAGTGTGGGCATTCCCTGCCAACGGGGAGATCCTTCCACTAGCAGTGGCGTGAGTTAGCAACGAGAAGGGCTGGGCCTTGACCATCTTCACCAAACGGTAAACATTGCCCACGCCTGCACCGGCCAAAACGTCCAATCAAAGACGTGAAAGTTTGTCCACGCTGGTTTTTTTCCCATAAACGATTCGTATTATGTCGCAGGACGTTCTTCTTTTGTTTGTTTGACGACTGCGTTGCGTGACATCGTCCGTCCGCATCGCCACGGTGTGATCCGCCGCATGCTGGGCCGTCGCCAACGGAGTGCCCCGGAATTCGGCTCGAACGTTGAGCACAACGCACGCGCGCTACCTCGCTTGCTTGTGTCATAAAAACAAACACACATCGATTCGTTATTGCTGTCGAGCGCCGTTCCGTAGCCGAGGCTCGCCAGGGAAGCGCGACTATCGGACGCAGATGTGTTCGGCGTTGAGGTCGCTCGTGCTCAGCGGGTGGTCCTGAAAGCACTGCTGCCAAGACCTGTCGCGTGGTGAATAGACACGGGTGATAGGTCATACAGGGCAAGGCAGTCGACTCTCCTCCCGCGAGAAGAGATCTCGCACTTGAGGCTTCGTACAATGACGATCTATTCACCGGCGTGAGTGGTCTAAATGCGGTTGGGGGGGGGAGGGGGTGGGGGGATTTCTCGGCCGCTTGACCGGTCCTTGGGACGATGTGTGTGTGCGTGCGTGTTCTCGCAAGCTCTCGCTGCTTGAGTGCGTCCATCGCGCCAGCGGGTGGTGGACGTGCGAGCCACCGGACTTTGCACACCGCCCGCCGGCTGCAGTGCCTGACCTTGCGCAAGGACTTCAAGTGGAACGTGCGGTCCGATGTCATAATTTAGCTTTTTTTTATATTTTCCCTGACAGGTGGAACTGAAAGAGATAATTGAATAGAGGCTGCTACACCAGAGCATTTAC